ACCCAGTGATCTCCCTGCTATTCCAATAAACTATAACCGGGGTCGTCGCACGTCTGTAAGTGCCGAATCAATGGCACCTAGCCAGGATAAAGATTATGTCAAAATTTATATTCCAAAAACACCGGAACAACGGAAACGAATAGAAGCATCGATCGCCAATAATTTTTTGTTCAAAAATCTTGATGAAGAGCAGTATAAAGATGTGATTGATGCGATGGTAGAAAAGAGGGTCGAAAAAAATGAAGAGATTATCAGCCAAGGTGGTATCGGAGATTTCTTTTACGTTGTGGAGACTGGTACATTTGATGTTTACGTCTCCAAAAATGGATCTGCTCCAGAGTTAGTACATCATTATGAAGCTGGTGGAAGTTTTGGAGAGCTGGCTTTAATGTACAATGCTCCACGTGCTGCAACTGTTGTTACTACATCAGATGCTGTTCTTTGGGCTTTAGATAGAGTAACTTTTAGACGGATTCTTATGGAAAACACTTCTCGCAAGCGAAGAATGTATGAATCATTTCTTGAGGAGGTTCCAATTTTGATTTCATTGGAACCTTATGAACGACACAAGATCGCTGATGCCTTGGAATCCTTGTATTATGAAGATAATCAGTTGGTTATTAAACAAGGAGATATAGGTAACAGTTTTTATCTTATAGAATCTGGTGAAGCTCGGGTAACGAAAGTGGACGAAGATGGTGTTGAGCATGAACTTCCCGGTCTGAATAAAGGAGACTACTTTGGAGGTCAGTGTTGCATAGGTGTTTCAATTATCGCATTTATGATAATCGTTACTTAAATATTTTACATTTAGAACTTGCTCTGCTCAATAACAAGCCTCGCGCTGTAAATATCCGAGCCAAAGGTCGATTAAAGGTTGCTACATTGGGCAAAAAAGCCTTTGTCCGGTTGTTAGGTCCAGTTGTAGACATCCTTAAACGTAATAGCGATAACTATGAAACTAGAGTTTAGAACCGGGTTATAGTAAACCGGGTCACCCGTATCAAAACGGTTCAACCGTG